GGGGAGTAATTTATTGAATACTAATAATTATTATTAATTAATTATTAGAATTCCTTTTATTAAAATAAGTTTTAAAAAAATATTTTTCTTATTTTTTCATTATTTATTTAAATCTTATTTATTTAAATTAATGACTAAATTATTATTATGGGGCGATTTCACTTTCCCATGATCAAACTGTACATTCTAGTTTTCTGTTCGCTAATTTGTACACCTGAATACTTTACATTACGTATATCAGTGTTAAATTCTACATCTGAAATTGAACACTCATAAATTTTTCTTTTTTAAATAATTTTATGTTGTTAAATTGTCATATCTTTAATTTTGAACATATAAAATGCATACAGAAAAATTAATTAAAAATTCCAAGTTCTACATCATTAAATTTGTCACTGTCTAATTTTACACAAATAGATATTAAAAATTAATAACTTTAAACTCTGCACAAACGAATTCTACATATTTTTATTAATTTCATCTTGTTATATTTTACATCAATCGACTCTAATCTCAGTTCTATACAAGGAATTAAGTAAATAATTACATACTCTACACTGTTAAACTAGGTACCATCAAACTTTATTCGAAGTAAAATATAAAATAATAATTTTAAATTCTACACGAGTAAACTACGTATTTTTTATTTAATTGTACACTGCTTACTTCAATAGAAACTGAATACAAAAATTTTATGAATATTCCTTGGAGAGTTAGCATTTGGGTGTAAAGTTTTAACTCTCTTTATTTAACTCCCCTGGCATTAACTCCCCAACGGGTGCGACTTTTGTAGAATCCCGTGGGGAGTTAAAATTTAACTCCCTTTTTTTACAGTGTAATTATTCTGATATTAGACATCTCGAAAGATTCATGACTATTGCGTTCAAACTTTTCTTGTCGAGTGTGGAATGTCAAAAAAATAATTTCTATTGAAGAAGTTATGAAACTTTCAAGAAACCATAGAAATTAGTGATTGAACGTCCGAACGCTTATACCACCAGAAAGATCTTCTGATAGAATGCTGCTCCGCACATCCGAGACAAAATTTTGGAGGTTTGCCTATGCTTACGACCGGTATATTATCGGCCTGGTGGAAAATTTGAACTTATACCGGAATCGGCGAAGTAGTACTGAGCCGGTTGATAAAAAAAACAACAGGGCCGGTGCCGTCCCAGTACGAAAATTTACTTATAATTTTTACCGCCACAAGAGTTCTGTCGACAAGAATACGAAACGTCACGTAACCAGTGGCTCTGAAATCTTTCATGGTATTCAAAATAGTTATTATTGTATCAAGGGCGCAAAATAGGTGATTGCGGCGATGGCGAGATGAAGGGACCGAGGGGACATTTTCACGCCCGAGGCGAAGCCGAGGGTGCGAAAGTGTCCCCGAGGTCCCGAAATCTCGCCAAAGTCGTAATCACCTTTGCGCCCATGTTGCGAACATAATTTTTTGTCCTAACTGCATGAAAAGTATGGCATTGAGGGCACGAGCGAAGCGGGCGCAAAAGAACAGCAAGCGGGCGTAAAAGTACTTTTGCTACCGCTCGGGCTAGATGAAGCGGGCGCAAAAGTACTTTTACTTTTGCGCTGTTTCATTTGTGTGACGTCAGCGGGCGTAAAAGAACTTTTGCGCCCGCTTCCCCGGCCCCGGGCGAGAATCAGTTTCTTTGCGCCCACTTTAAGTGCCCGAAATGACATACTTTTCGTGCAGGTAGAACAAAAATAAGTTTATGTTCACAAATTCTTCTTTATAAACGAAAATGTTTTAAAGTAAGTGGTTATTAGAGATTAACAGTGTAGTATCAAATACATAACTGGAGGAAATTTTTTTAAAATATTAATAAGATTTCTTAATTAGCTTAAGAGTAATCAACCGGCAATTGATAGGTCCTGGGTTTCGAGCCCCAGCAGAGTTAGTCCTCCATTTTTCATAGCTATAAATTTATTTTGCAATTCTTAATTAGTATTTTTTACACAATAGCCCTAAAATTTTTTAATCAAACTTTTGTTGAAATGAAGTGTTGCTTTTTAATTTTACTAAATAATATATTTGTAGAAATTTAGAGCTACTTACTGTTTTTGATAAAATTCTTATTCTTGTGAATTATGAGGCGATTCCCAATATTTGTTTTTGTAATTTCCAATGAAACTTTTATGAGAAAGAAATTTTACAAAATAAAATTCATCAAAAGTGTTATTTTTTACATATAAAAAAACATTTATTTCCAATATTTTTAAGTTTCTAATCTTTTAATATTAGTTTACTATAATGAAGTTGACCAATCACCAATTTTTTCATGTGTATCTAAATTATTTTAAATAATCTTTAATTTTTTAAACACTTTAAGTTAAAAGCAGATAACTTTTACTATTTTAATGAAATATATTACTGTTCTAGTAAAACCTACAGTTGTCATGATTAAAGTTTCTTTCTTTGTAGATAAATAAAATTGTAATGCTTGAAAATATTTTTTCGAAGAGGATAATTATTTATTTAAAATTATAAATGCAATATTTTAATTTATAATTAATAAACTTCTTAAAATTAAGAACAAAAACATCTTTAATAGAAAACGGGGATAATTTCTCGTATAACTGCTCTGCACACGGGACACACTTCTGAATCATAAAGCGGTTTGCAAGTAACACAAAGGCACAAATGTGAACAAGGTTGAATTAAGAAAGTTGGCCGCTCATCCAAACAGATACAGCATCTGTTTTGCGCCATATTTTCTACTGCTGGTCTAACATCTGAAAATTTTTTAATTTAATAAGATAATGTCAATAAATATTAAATTTTTATTTATTTCTTTCATATTTTTTTTAAAGTGATTTAATTATTAGATTTAAATTATTTTAATGAGTAAAAAAATGAGTTACTGTACAAAGCTTAAAATTATATATAAAATGTGTTTATAAAAGCACAGTATTTACTCGGTAAAGCCAATTCTGGGGCTTCATAGGGTTGAACCCTAATTCTTCCCCTGATAATCAGAAACAACAAAGAGGTGACCATGCGCTTGTACTGATGTTCCAACCATTTCGAGGAAATTTTGTACAAGTTGTCAGCTGTTTTTTAAGCAAGGGAAGTGCTAGAAGCACTGTCCTTCACAAAGTACTTTTCGAGGGTATTGCCTTATGTGAAAAGGCAGGATTAATTATTGATGCAATTGTGATGGATGGTGCTGCATGGAACAGAGCCACATGGAAGTTGTTTGGAATTAGCAGGAATAAAAAGCGTATACAACACCCATACGATGGAAGACGAAGCTTTTGGTTTATTTCTGATTGGCCACATTTAGTGAAAGCTTTCAGAAATTTTATTGTAAAATTTTTGAAATTCCAAATAATCTTCGTTAGTGTTTAGAAAATTTATTAATAAATACGTTTGTTAAAAATTAAAAATCTTCCATTATAATTAAAATAATTCAATTTTTAGACTCCTGATGGCGGCATTTCCAAAAAGCACTGGTATGCTTTATTAGAAAAGCTTTTTGAAACACCTTATGCAATTAGAGCAAATTACAAATTGCGAAAAGAGCATGTAGATCCTAAATACTACATGAAAATGAACGTTGCGCTTGCATTTGAGGTATTTCAATCATTTAGCTTTCTCGTTGAGAAAGCTTTGTCGTACTTTAAATTATAAAAGTTTTTTAAATAAATTTAACAAATTTCCATTTATATAGTTTAATTGATTAATTGTGGTTTTTATTTTAATGAAAAAAACACTAATATAATTAATTTTCCAGTTTTTAGGGTTCCGTACACCATAGGTGTACTGACGGAACCCTTATGAAATCACTCGTGTGTCCGTCCCAGCTACGCAAAATGGGCTGTCCCCCCCCCTTAACTTTTACAAATCTCAACCTAGTGAGCTGAAATTCGGTAGGGATCTTCAGTTTTAAGTGCAGATTACAGGAAAAATATAGCGAACCTGATTGGTGGAGATATTTGGGAACTATAAGGGAAAGAAATTGAATTTTTTTGAAAAAATTGCAAAAAATGACTCTGTCCCCCCCTTAACTTTTACAAATCTCAACCTGGTGAGTTGAAATTCGGCAGGGATCTTCAGTTTTAAGTGTAGATTACAGGAAAAATATAGCGAACCCGATTGACAAACATATTTGCAAAATAGGAGGGAAAGTAATTCAATTTTTTCAAAAAAATGCTAAAAATGACCCTGTCCCCCCCCCCTTAACTTTTACAAATCTCAACCTAGTGAGCTGAAATTCGGTAGGGATCTTAAGTTTCAAGTGTAGATTACAGGAAAAATATAGCGAACCTGATTGGTGGAGATATTTGGGAACTAGAAGGGAAAGAAATTGAATTTTTTTGAAAAAATTGCAAAAAATGACCCTGTCCCCCCTCTTAACTTCTACAAATCTCAACCTTATGAGCTAAAATTCAGTAGGGATCTTCAGTTTTAAGTGTAGATTACAGGAAAAATATAGCGAACTCGATTGACGGACATATTTGCGAACTAGGAGGGAAAGAAATTCAATTTTTTCGAAAAAATTGCAAAAAATGACCCTGCCCCCCCCCTTAACTTTTACAAATCTCAACATTATGAGCTAAAATTCGGTAGGGATCTTTATTTTTAAGTGAAGATTGAGGTAAAAATATAGCGAACTCGATTGACGGACATATTTGCGAACAAGGAAGGAAAGAAATTGAATTTTTTTGAAAAATAAAAAAATAATATAAAATAAAATAATAAAAATATTTATTCCAAATTTAAAAAAATATATTAGCAGTTTTTTAATTATTTTTTTTATATTTTTAAGAATTGTTGAAATAATTAAAAATAACAAAATTTATTTGAATATGAGCTGTAGATAAAAAAAATGAAGATAGATAAAAAAAAATACAATCAGTTTTTATTAATCGTTGTCATTTCACGTGCCAAAAATAAAATTTGAATAAATATTGAATTTTATATTATTTAATATTAGTTAATAAATTATATTTAATATAAAATAAATTTTCGAAAAATAATGGGTAAGTGAGATAATTTAATTATTAAAAAGAATTTTAATTTTTTTATAGTTGTAAATGGTTATAATTTTTTAAAATTATGATTTAATATTTTATTAGTTTCATTTTATTATAATATATTAATAATAAAAAATTTAAATTTTTCAGTTTTTGGATTTTTGAAAAGTTTTTTTTATAAAGAAAAGGATCCAGAAAAACGCGAGACCAAGGAGAAATTATGTGAAAATAAAGAAGAAATAGAAGAAAATCGTGATGGAAGACAGGAATTATGTGAAAAGAATAATGAAAAAAAAGAGAATAGAAATGAAGAAGGCAAGAAGAAAAGTGTAATTGACGAAGAAGAAAATTTGGAAAGGAATTTGAGAATGAGGCAAGAGATGAAAGAAAAAGATAGGTATGAATATATTAAATTTAATTTTTGGTGTTTCTTTATGTGAATAAAAAATAATATAATAATAATATAATAATATAATCAAAATTATAAATATTTAGGAAATTTATTTTAATAAAAAATTTTTTTTAGAATTTATTTTTATTATTTTTATTTATATTATTGTTTTATACATATATTTTATACATATATTAATTAATGATAATTAAAAAATAATAATTCAATAATAAAAATTAATTTATTTTTATATTTAATATAATGATTTTTATATGTTAAATGGGATTTAATGAATAATATTTAACCTCTGCGCCGGCGGCAAAAAGAGATCACACATGACTTTCGTTGGCCCCAAGTTCAGCAAGTGTCTGGCTGTTTAAGGGGCCAATGAATATCTTGCGCAAGCTCTTTTGGTAGTTGATAGCTAAATTAAATATAATTAATTTATTATTATTTAATTTCAGAGATATTGAACGTTTGCAATGGGAAATTCGAAGACTAGGTGGAAAGAAGGATGAAAAAAAGGAGAATAGAAATGAAGAAGGCAAGAAGAAATGTGAAATTGACGAAGAAGAAAATTCGGAAAGGAATTTGAGAATGAGGCAAGAGATGCAAGAAAAAGATAGGTATGAATATAATAAATTTAATTTTTAGTGTTTCTTTATGTATAAATAATGTAATCAAAATTATAAATATTTAGGAAATTTATTTTAATAAAAATTTTTTTTAATAATTTATTTTTATTATTTTTATTTATATTATTATTTTGTACATATATTAATTAATGATAATTAAAAAATAATATTTTAATAATAAAAATTAATTTATTTTTATATTTAATATAATGATTTTTATATGTTTAATGAGATTTAATAATATTTAACCTCTGCGCCGGCGGCCAAAAGAGATCACATGTGATTTTCGTTGACCACAAGTTCAGCAAGTGTCTGGTTGTTTAAGAGGCCAATGAATATCTTGCGCAAGCTCTTTTTGTAGCCGATAGCTAAATTACATTTAATAATTTATTATTATTTCATTTCAGAGATATTGAACGTTTGGAATGGGAAATTAGAAGATTATTTGAAAAGAAGGATGAAAGGCAAGAGAATAGACATAAAGAAGACGAGAAGAAAACAGAAATTAATGAAGGAAAGAATACAAAACGAAATTTCAGAAGGAGACAGAAGATGAAAGAAAATGATAAGTATGTATATGTTAAATTTAATTTTTTGTGTTTCTGGATTTATAAATTTAATGAAAATTATATATTTTTAGAAAATTAATTTTAAAAAAATAATTTTTTTATTATAATATTTTATTTAATACAATTTTAAAATTGTAAAATTATTTATTTGACTAATAATTATTAGAGACAATTTGACAGCATTTTAATTATGAATTAAATATTAAATAAAAATAAATTAAAATTATAAGAAATTTATATTGTTTTTGAAGTTTTATATTTTTTATCATAATAATTTTTTTATTGATTTATATAATAAAAATTTAATATTATTTTATTTTATTATTTTAAAAAAATTAGAAAATTGTTAAACTTGATTTTGAAAAAATTATGTTAAATTTAATTTTTTTTGTTTTTGGATTTATAAATTTAATAAAAATTATATATTTTTAGAAAATTAATTTTAAAAAAATAATTTTTTTATTATAATATTTTATTTAATAAAATTTTGTTATTTTCATAAAAATATAGATCATACGTGATTTTCGTTGCCTCACGTTCAGCAAATGTCTAAATGTTTTAGAGGCAAATTAATATCTTGTGCAAGGTCTTTTGATAGCAGACAGCTAAATTAATATAATTAATTTATATTTTTTATTATTAAATTTCAGAGAAATTTCACGTTTGCAGTGGGAAAATAGAAGATTGATAGAAAAAAACAAAGAACTTTATGAAGAGCAAAAAATAAGATATTCAGGAAGATCGAGAATAAATAATCAAAGATACACAAACTTGCCATATTATACAAAAAAATTTAGACCTCCTGGACAATTCCAATCACGAAATTCATGTCAACAATACATACCAGAAATAAATTACGCACAACAAAGAGCATGCACACAACCACCAACTTGTCAAACACACACTCAATATTCGCCAAATTTTCAATATTCACAAAACACAAGATGCACAGAGCATTCACCATATTCTTCATGTTTTCAAAGATTTTAGTTTAAATGTATTATTATTCAATTATATCTCATTTTACGAAAATGAATATTAATTAAATAAAAAAAAATATTTTTAATATTTCAATTCTTTAAACTTTTTTTTTGTTAATGTTATTTTATTTATTTTATTTATTTTATTTATTTTATTTATTTTATTTATTTTATTTATTTTATTTATTTTATTTATTTTATTTATTTTATTTATTTTATTTATTTTATTTATTTTATTTACTTTATTTATTTTATTTATTTTAATTATTTTATTTATTGTTATTAAACGTTCGAAAATCAATAATAAAATTAAAAAATTGTTAATAAAAATATAATTTTATGAATTTATAATTTAAAAATTTTATTTTAATTATTAAACTATTATAACTATATTAAAGAATAAATAAAAATATAGTGATTTATTTTATTTATTTCACAAAGATTAAAAAATACAATTTTAAAATTGTAAAATTATTTATTTGACTAATAATTATTAGAGACAACTTGACAGCATTTTAATTATGAATTAAATATTAAATAAAAATAAATTAAAATTATAAGAAATTTATATTGTTTTTGAATTTTGATATTTTTTAGCATAATAATTTTTTTATTGATTTATATAATAAAAATTTAATATTATTTTATTTTATTATTTTAAAAAAATTAGAAAATTGTTAAACTTGATTTTGAAAAAATTTTACATAAAGTTATTTATTTATTTTGTTTTCTATTTATTGATTTTATTATTATTCTTGTTTTCCCATTCTAAAAAAGCAGCTAATATATCCTCATCATCAGAGTCAGTCATTTCTGTAAAAGAAAAAAATTATAGTTATATAATATATAAAATTAATTATTAATTATTAATTATAAATTTGTAAACTCATTTTATTAATATTTGCAAATAATTAATTAATTAAAAAATTTTTAATATTAAAAAATATGTTATTACCAAACTTATTATTTTGTTGATTTGAATTTTCTGTAGAACATCCTGGTAAATCTGAAATAAAATTTTATTAAAATTTGATATACTATTATTATTATTATTTTTATATATTATTTTTATAATTAATATTAATGAAAATAATAATATATATTAAAACTAACCTTGCGTTAAATTTTGAATAGAACTGGTTTTTGAATCTAAAACAAACAAGTAAATTTAAAAATATTTAATAATTAATTAATTTACTAAATAATAAAATTAATATTTAATTTTTTGAGTAGGAACTAACCTTTAATATTTTCTTTACGCGTAGAACATTCTGGTAAATCTGAAATAACATTTTATAATTTTAAAGGAAAATTTATATAATATTTTTATTAATAATACCTATTAATAAAAATAAAATTATATATTAAAACTAACCTTCCTTAACCATTTCTTTTGGTAATTCATTTGAATTATTTTCATTTTCTGTAATGATAAAAATATTTAATAATTAATGAATTTAGTAAATAATAAAATTAATAATTAATTTTTTGTGTAGAAACTAACCTTTAATATTTTATTTACGTGTCGAACATTCTGGTAAATCTGAAATAAAATTTTATAATTTTAAAGGAAAATTTATATAATATTTTTATTATTAATACCTATTAATAAAAGTAAAAATATATATTAAAGCTAACCTTCCTTAACCATTTCTTTTGGTAATTCATGTAAATTAGTTTCATTTTCTGTAATGATAAATATATTTAATAATTAATGAATTTAGTAAATAATAAAATTAATATTTATTTTTTTAATTTTTTTTTGTAGAAACTAACCTTTAATATTTTCTTTATGTGTCGAACATTCTGGTAAATCTGAAATAGAATTTTATAATTTTAAAAAAAATTTATATATTATTTTTATTATTAATATTAATAAAAGTAATATAATTATATTAAAACTAACCTTGTTTAACCCTTTTTTGTCAATTCATCCGAATCATTTTCATTTTCTGTAAAACATAAAAACGATTTAAAAAATTGTTAATATTTTAATTATTATTATTAAATATTTATATTTTACTTACTTCTTTTATTTTGTTCCATATTTTAATATTAATAATTATTTTTTAATTTATTCAAATCTTATTTCTCTGAAGGAAAAAGCCAAATTTATTAATATAATTCACTGTTTACTTTTTTTAATTTCGAGATAACTTCATATTGAACCTGACATTTGAAAAAAATATTGATTGAATGTTTTTGAATTTTAAGCTAATTTCATATTGTACCTGACATTTGAAATAAAGTATTTAATTGATTAATGTTAGAAAAGTTTCATTTACATAATTTGAAATAAATAAAAAAAATAAATAAAAATTACTGGATGAAATAATAACAATGTAAAATTGTTTTTAAAAATAAAAATATATAAAAACATTGAAGGATATTAAAAATAATTAAACGAATATGAAATAAATTAGAAAAAAACACATTGGAATAAAAGTAATGTAAAATTATTAACAACAATCGGAATAAAAAAAAGCGTTGAAAAGGGAATCAAATTTAATATTAATAATATATATATATATATATATATATATATATATATATATATATATATATATATATATTTAAATCGAATCATTTTTAAATAATTTTATAGAAGCGTTATGCAGGTCCACTTATCGGGAAATATATGTGAATTTAATTTAACCGTGAAAAACTTGAAACAAGTTAAGAATTTTATGCTAAACCAAGAATTTTTAACCAAATTAAAAAAAGTTTTATTATTTTAATTTATTTTTAAAATTTGCTTTTTTTAATTGTTATGGATATTAATATAACGTTCAAATTTTGTAGTATGTAAAAAATTTTTAAAAAATTATCTAATTACTAGAAATTTTGTGAAATTAAATTACAATAATTACATTTTTTTAAATAATTTTATTAAAAAAATTTTATTTTTTAAATTTTAATTTAATAATGGATAAATAATTAAATTTTATAAACATTCAGATTCTAATATATTCATGTTTCTTGGTGTGACGATTAATAATTAAAATTTTTATTAATTAATTTAAAAAACATTCAAATATAAAATTTTTTTAATAAAAATTAAATTTTGTAAAATTTTTTTGAAAATTTTGGAAAATAATATTTAAAATTTTTTTTTTAATTTATTGTTTTAAAAAATTAGAGTTAGTCTAACCAAAAAAGTTTAAGTTATTTAAACTGTTTTTATTAAAGTTTTGTTAACTGTTGGGCCAACCATAGTCCAGAGTTTGGTCAGGGTAAATTTTTGTCACTTAAACTGCGTTTCTTAGGTTATTTTCGACATTCGCCCCGAGTTGTAAAGTTGGGCCAAGTTAATAAAAAAATGTTTTTGGCGTTACTGATTACGAATCCAAAGTCAGATTTTGAAAAATAAAAATGGCGTATTCAAAATGGCGGACATTTTTAAAATTTGATCAGATTTGCTTGAAAGTTGCTACTAGGGGGTTTTTGGGGTCTCTGATTACGAATTTCAA